TTTTTCACTGACTCGAGTATAAGCCGAGGCGGCTTTTTTCAGCCCAAAAAGTGGGCTGAAAAACTCGGCTTATACTTGAGTATATACGGTAGTTCATCTTTTTGGGCAAGCACTAATTTTCAATCTTTCTAATTTGTATCTGAACCATTTATTTTGTTCTCAGTACGTTTTTCATTGCTTACCTAACAATTGCTCTTCCAGGTCTGTTAATCTATTTTTTAAAGGTTCTTTTACTATATTGTTTTCCATAAATGTTCTAATACATGTTTTTTTTTCTTTATATGGATTTGCACTTATTTTTTCTTGGCCAGCTTCTAGACTTTTGTAAAACAAACATTGGTTAATTTTAGGCAAATAAGCAGGAGAAACAAAGATTGTAAAGAAAGCAAAGTTATTTGCTTTACTGTTAGGAATATTCTTTATGACTCATTTGACTTTTTATTTTCTTAGCCAATTGATATGGTGATTGGTGAGCTGCAACATTTCTATTTCCCAAGTTCAGAATTATATTATATTCTTGTGGTTTTCATAACTTCATTTGTTATTAGTTGTCCAGAGTTCACAGCATCTGTAATTTCAGCTTGTTCAATTAACACTCAGTTATTATTTGTGATCCATTCAACTCAGTATCAGAGAAAACCTTGCTTTGCAGTCACACAGTGCAGATCCATTAGCACGTCTTATGTAATCATTCATTCTGGGAATTTCTTTTTAAAATTTGGAATATATTCATTTGAAATCCCCTTTCTGATGGTCCGGATTTGTAGTAACAATTTATTTTCCAATTTTGTTCACCACTGAGTTATTATGCAGTTTCTTTGTCCTGTTTGCCTAGCAAAGATCCAGCTTTTGCTGATTCAGTTGAGAGCTGATCTGGTAGCAAAAACTGCTTTAGCAAAAACTGCTTTCTGGTTTTCACTACTGGAAATGGGTTGCTATTATATTATGATAATTTCTTCTTTTCCCATCATCATCACTAAATATTTATTCCACAAAACTTTACTTTTTTTAGTTCAGCTTTCTTAGAACAATTACAGGTAACCCTTGACTTACAACAGTTCATTTAGTGAGTATTCAAAGTTATAACAGCACTGAAAAAAGTAACTTATGACCATTTTTCCTACTTACGACCATTGTAGTGTCTCCATGGCCAAGTGATCAAAATTCAGAAACTTGGCAACAGATTCATATTTATAATGATTGCAGTTTTCTGGGATCATGTGATCATCTTTTGCAACCTTGTGACAAGCAAAGTCAATGGGGAGGCCAGACTCACTTGTTATTAACTTAACAACTGCAGTGATTCCCTTAACAACTGTGGCAAGAAAGGTAATAAAACAGGGCAAAATTCACTTAACAACCATCTCACCTAGCGACAGAAATGTTGGGCTCAATTGTGGCCGCTAAGTCGAGGACTACCTGTAATAGATCAGTCATTCATTTGTAACTGCTTAGAACTTATTAAACAAAACATGATACATTCTACAACCACAAAAGTATAACAAATAGACCACCCTAACATTGCAGACCACATCTGCAAGGTGCCAAATATTACTTGCCACATAACTGAAACATTCATAAGGCACCTCTGGGACATACTGACCAGGATTCTACATAATGGTATGCTCCATTTGCAATTTCTTATGTTATTCAATTGTTTATTCTTATTGCAAATCCATTATTTACAGGTTTGTTTTACATGCAAACTAGTGCACAAAGGCTTAAACATGAAAACACTGATCAAAGAAAGCATTCAAGCACTGCTTTCGTGTTAAATGGAACTATTGAAAGAGAGAGTTTTAACTGTCATCTGCTGAGCAAGATCTGTAAATCTAATCTACCCCCAAAGAAAGAGAAAAGAGAAAAGGGACCCACAAATGCATTAACGATCCATTCCATAAGACAAGTGATCATGGGACCACTTACAAAACTTCACAGTTGGATGGTGGGTGGGTGATGCTTAAGCAGTAGCCTTCTGCCTGCATATATTTTATATGAAATGAACAGATGCATTGCCATGTCTCCTTTCAGTAACATCAGCTGTGATTTGTCAAGATTCCTCTGTGGCCAAATGTTTTATAAAAACAAAACCAAGGCAACAATGAGGCAAAATGAAGAATCTACAGTCTAAACACATTTTTCTTTTCTTAAGCAAGGGATGATAAAAAGAAACAAAATAAAAGGAGCAAAGTAGAGACTGTTCATAGTAATACAGTATCTTGCTTATTTTAACCTCAAAACATTTTAATCAAGATTTGACTAAAGCTTAGCTTGGCTTCAGTGCCATGGTGAGGAAAACATTTATTCACCAAGGACAATCAGACCAGTCTCTTAGGTGGAGATTGAATGAAATGTTATTGGTAAAAGAAATGGTGGTAGAAGACTATAGAAAGTTTTGAGAATAATCTTAATAAACGTAGAGAAGGAAGGATGACTGGGATGCAAGTAATTTTTTTACAAACACGATAGTGAAACTTAAAAGAAAAGGCAAGAGAAATTGCAAATGATTCTGGATGAGACAAAAATGGGTGAAAAATTTAAAAAATCTCCAGGGATGATCACTAATTAAATTAAGCTTTTGCAGAGGCAATTATCTATGTTAACAGTGAGAGAGATTGAAATAAAGATGAACTATGAAATTTCCATATAAACTGAGGAGATGGTTGGCATACAAGCTGAGAAAAGAAAAAGTGATATTAAAGTTTCAAGAAAAAAAAAATTGTACTAACAGAATAAAAGAGACAAATTCTCTGTAATAATAAGAGAACTATGTGAAGTTGTCACGAAGATTAAAACAGGAAAGATATCCAATACAGATGGGCTGCTGCCCCTTATTACAAATGTTTCAAAAATGAGTTTTTACAAACTTTACAACAGATGATGAGTACTATTTTGCAATATAGAAAGATTCCTGATAGCTGGAAGGAGACTAATATAACAATACCTAAAAAGGGGTAAAACTTGACTTTAACAAGAAACAATCAACCAATATGTTTATTGAATAATGATTATAAACTGTTTACTATGATTTTGGCTGAAAGGTTGAGAATAATTTTACAGAATATTTTTATCTAAAAAAGAATTGCAAGATAATACTAGAAACACTTTGAACATGTAGAAATATTTGGAGCAACATAATGAAAAACAAGCTGCACTGATATTCCTATATGCA